ACATCAAATGAATGTAAAAATGAGCTAGTTATTAATATTAGGCATAGTAATCGGCAGGTTCTTGATTACAAGGCTAGACCAAGTTAATTACATGTAATGCCCAAAAATAATAATAATAATCATTATTATTATGGAACTTAGACAAAGGGGAAATAACACAAAAGATATTCCCCTTGGGCTAGTTATTATTTATAGGCCTAGTAAATAGTATCTGTATGTTCTTCATTACAAGCCTTAGGCCAAGGTAATTAATGCTGAAACGATTATTATTATTATTATTAATTATTATTATTACCTGTACCTTAAGGGGAACTTAGACAACGGAGGAATTAGAGAACAATTAAAAAAACGACGTTAAGGGTAAATAACACAAAAGATGTTCCCCTTGGGCGATTATTATTTATAGGCCTAGTAAAGAGTACAGTATCTGTAGGTTCTTCATTACAAGGCTTAGGCCAAAGGTAATTAATGCTGAAATTATTATTATTTTTTTTTTAATTTATTTATTTTTATTTTACATTAATTACATTACAATGATAGTTTGGACAAGTTCAATAACGCCGGAATGGTATATTATTTATTTAATAATATTTCTCTTATGCGCTCTATTTTTCATTTCATGCTTCAATTTTGTCCCATTTTCCCCAAAAATTTCAGTCCATGTCAGTATGTGAAGCGTGACTGTTGTGTCAGCCTATGACCCTAGGCCTAGTTTAAGGAGGGGCCTAGGTAAGACGTCAGCCTGTAGTTAGGCCTATAGTTTATACTCTCTCTCTCTAGCCTTTGGTATAACTGTACCTATCTACACTTTATAACAGGAGGTACTAGCTGTTGTTGTTGTAGATAATATACTAACATTTAATAACATCCAAGAAGCTGGTCACAGTTAGTTACACCAGGGAGATGTAAAAAATACATCTCCCTGGTTACACAGTGACGTACATCACATAAGTCAGTGAAATGTCATAGGCCTACCGTATGTAAACATAGAAACAGCAGTAATAGTAAAACTCGAGCGTCACGACATTGCGAAGTGTCTGCTCTTGTTCCTCGTATCGTACTCTATGGCTACGTTCAGACCTGTGAGATACGCCAGGCGTACGTTAATCCATGGCGTAACTAGCGAGATGTCCAGACTGGGCGATTAATGAACGCTAGCGAAAGTATTCGCGCGAAATATTCGTATTCGTAATTCGCGCATTTTATTTTCTGTTTACATCTAGGTTTATTTTGATTGGTCAAATCTTGGCTGAGTTCAAAATCACCGATGCGTGACTGTCGTAGATCAGTGGCGTACGCTAATCTGGGGTCTGTTGCTGGAATACTGGCGTTCGCTACGCCGCGCACAAGTTCACACCACTTGATTAACGTTACGCTAGCGTAAGTCGTTGTGTCTGAACATAGCCTATGGCGGTTCAACTGTGTCATAATTACTACGCGTAGTACGCGTACTACACGTACTACGCGTACTACACGTAGTACACGTAGTACGCGTACTACACGTACTACGCGTACTACACGTACAACGTGTACTACACGTACTACGCGTACTACGCATAGTAACTATGACACAGTTGTACCACTCGCGGTAAAATTGTGTCAAAACACCACGTGTTAGCATCATGACCATCGTAAACCAATTAGTTGTATAGCGCCACCAATTTACTGTACGTATAACGTCTAATATCTACTGAACTGCATCTAACATTATTTATAACTAGAAATTGCAAATTGCAAGTGAAGTGCTGCGAAGTACAACTGCATATTAATGTTCTTCGTACAAAATTATTTATGCGAGTCAAGTGAAAATAATGAATAATAAAAATATAACAAATAATATGAGACACGACCAAAGTAGTATCTTTGGACACGACCCATTGTCTATATTAGAACACTCCTCATTGGGTAACAAAGTCGTGATTTTTCATTTTAGTCAAAAAGTGTCTATAGTGGTGAGTTATGGTTTAGGTTTTTTTTTAATAAAGTTTAAAAAATTTCTATGTATGTGGAAAATGTAGTTGATTACCAAAGGTTACAATTTTTATTTTGAAGACTGCATGGTCTAGGAAGTGTACATTTTTTTTTTTATGGGGCAATTTTCCAAGGGCGGGTTTTCTAGGGGCGAGTTGACTGCCAAAGAGTGTTGCCAAAGTGCGAGCCAGCGTGTTATTTGATCACAAGTGCGAGACATCGCAAGTGTGTGAGCAAGCCAGCGAGCCATGACGTCACGACAATAGATACGAGACGTTAACGAGTTATCGGCTGAGATTTGTGGAGTACAGTACAATTCAAAAACAATAGGTCTAATAATGAATTATTGTGATGTTAAATAGGCAATGTTAGCTATCAAGGAGCGACGTTGTTTTTCATTGGGACCTTCGTCCCTCCAAGGCTAGGCCTACCATCCTAGCTAGTCTAGGCCTGGCTAGCGCGACATGCGGACGTTGGTACGAGTAGGTTAGTCTACAAACGTCGCCTAAAGTAATTGATTTTACCCGGCAGAACGAAAGAAGGAAACTCCGCTTTTCAGTCGTCTTAGGCGCCTGTTTTTTGACAAACAATGACCTTTCAGGGGTCAAATTGCTGTCAAGAATATGAATTGGCTGCTTCGCAGCAATTATTTATTTTGGAAATTACACCTTTACATCGATGGAACACATAGGAGTCGTGCATCTATATGAAGACTATAATCTATAAAAGGCAAATTGGGGTTTGTGTGTCCGGGATGTTCTTCTTTGTTACTGAGCCCATTTCAACCAAATTTTCACTGAATTTTCACATTTGAAAAATTCTTGATCAGCCCCTGCTGTATGTTGAAATGTTTAAGAAACAAATACGTTAAACATACTTTTATGCCCACCCAAATAATAAAACGATGATTATTGAATAAACACAGGCTTGATCTGTAATGTACAAATATTTCTGTTTATTGTTTTAATGCTTCCATTAATTGATTCTGCTAATAAGAATTATGATGATGATTTCTCTCAATTCTTTAATGACATTGATTCAGCTAACGAGAATGATGATGATGACAACGACGACAGCTACGAACACAGACGTTCAGTTTTGATTTCAGTTCCACCATAACACCAACGATGACAACTAGAGCACCAATGTAGTAGTAAAACTTTATTTATTCACGAAGCACAAATCAACAAATATAATGCTGTTTTTCATTGTGGTCGTGAGATAGCCGTACCTTACTTACAATTAACATAGATTACACAGTACGGTACATAATCAGAAAGCAAAAGTTAAACACACAAATTAAATAATGTAGATAGAAAGTCAACCATTTAGTAAAATAAAAGT